ATTAAGAACACATTTATAGTATTGGTATCATAAACAATATACCTAGCTGTAATTTTTTTTTTGTGGTAGGAAATTTTGGTAATTTTTATTTTACAAACTAGCGGCTTACCCTCGCTTCGTTCGAGTTCGCCTCTAGAAAAGCACAGACAGATCTATACTACGGGAACCGTTCATTTTTCCGGGATAAAAAGTAGCCTGTTGTTTGACCAGCAATATAAGGTATCATCAGCATGCCAAATTTTTCTAAATTAGGTGCATAAGTTGTTGCGTACTAAGCTGTATAAGTTACTATAGTTTATTAACTATCCCACGGGAACTCTTTAATTTTCCGGAATGAAAAGTATCTAAGATGTTGCCCGGGGATATAAGGTACCAACCATGCAAAATTTCATTTAAATCGGTCCAATAGATTCGGAGATTAGCCCATACAAACAGACAAACAGACAGAGAAACAAATAATGCAATATAGTTTTAATTATTTTATAATGAAATGAAATATATCCCACGGGTACTGTAAATTTTTTCGAGATAAAATGTGTTATTCCAGATTATAATCTATCTCTTTGCCAAATTTCATCCAGATCCGTTCAGCCGTTCTGGCGTGAAAGAGTAACAAACATACATCCATACATCCTCACAGTCTTTTACATTTATTATATTAGTATGGATGGATTAATGCGATTTATTGCTATACAGTTTCACTTTTCTCTATATAATTTTTTTTAAATAAATAAATTGTGAAATTGTCCTTAAATTAATAAGAAATTGTTCTTATCTTATCAATGAATCTAGGATACCGAAAGTATATGTATACCTACGTCCTGTATACCTACGTCCAGTACACGAAGTTTTAAGAAGCTCCTAGAATTATTGAATAAAATGTAGCACAAAGATTTAATAAAGACTAAATAAAATACTTTCCAAGAGTATATATTTCCACTAGCGACTTACCATTGCTCCGCTCGGGTTTGTCCCTAGATAAGCCATATATTTAAGAAATGAATATTGTGGAAGTGTTAATATTTCATTTTAATTTTAACTAATTAATAATACATCATAATTAGATATATAATATTTTAAGTATGATTAATGTTCATACCAAATATGATAAATATTTACTTATTAGTTATATATGCATAGCTAACTATATTTATATCTTAAAGTATTGCTGGCTAGTACAGCTAGCACCAACTTCGAAAATATCTGATTGTGGATCTAAAGTGAAAACCGCCGTTCACTTATTTTGAAGTGAAACTTTTTTAGACACGCCATGAGAGGGGAAAGACAGCGATACGATTTTTGTAACAGAAACAGTTGTTACGGAAGTGAATAAATAGTAAATAAAAAATTATTTGAACTATTATTTCAAAGAATAAATTCATTAAAAAAAATCATAAAAACTATTTATTTTATTTCTTTTCAAATGAGCGATGGAATCATATTAAATTAATATTGTTAAAAAATTATGTACTTTTTTTATACATTATAAATATATATATATTTTTATTTGCAACCCTTTTTCTAATACCTTTAAACGAGCAATTCTTGTATATTTATTTATTTATTTATACCGGCGATCTCGGAAACAGCTCTAACGATTTCGCAGAAATTTGGTATGTGGCGGTTTTCGGGGGCGAAAAATCGATCTAGATTAGTCTTATGTCTGGGAAAACGCGTGTTTTCGAGTTTTCGTGCGGTTTTCTTACACATTATTCCACGCAAAATATGGTCGATAATTGCGCACACTCAGGCATAAGCGTGGTTAAGCGGCCAAGGCGCATGATTGACAATCACAGGTGTCCAGGTTCGAATACCGGTCGAATGTAAAGCTTTTAATCTTGTTTTTTTTTTGTATTTAATCAAGTTTTTTAGTTTTAAGTTATATAGATTATGATCTAAAAATACGATATAACAAAAAAACTCCGAGCGAAACTCGGTCGCCCAGGTACTTACCTAATATTGAAGTAAAACTTCTTTAGGCGTGACTGGGGTTTAAGTCAATATATTGGAAAAATGAGTGTCGCGGAAGTGAAAATCAAATTTATTATTAACTAGCGACTCACCCTCGCTTCGCTAGGGTTCGCCACTAGCTTGATTCACCATATAAACTTTCATCCCCGTTTATCTCCCTCTTAAGGGAGGATTTTCGGGATAAAAAGTATCCTATGTTCTTTCTAGGGTCTCAAACTATCTTCTTACCAAATTTTATCTAAATCGGTTGAGTAGATCCAGAGATTACCCTCTACGACGTATAATATTAGTATAGATAAATTAAAAAATGTTTTAACGTTTAGTATTGATTTCTCAGAGATGAGATATTTTCCCTATATATGTTGACCCGCTTAACCAGCTATCATCATACTGCATTTTATTATTCAGACAGACGAAGACAGTTGAACAGACGGACTGACAGACACACATACATAGACAGACAGACAGACAGACACACAAACATAAAAATTTTAACAACTATGATTTTAGGAGGTATGTTCTGTTTACAATATGTAACAGTCTTTCATTCGCTCTTTCTAATGGATATATGTGTTTCCATAATATACTAATACTTTTATTTTATTTTAATAATACAAATATTTGTAAGGTAATACTCATAAACTAGATAATCTACGAAATTCCAAAATGCAAATTTTAAGATGTTAATAAAAAATTTAATCTTGGAAAAGTGAGGTCAATATTTTTTAACTACATGGTAATGGGGAAGATTTCTTGAAAGGAGGGTGCTACGCGTATGATCTATTTACATTCAGTCTGAGGTTAAGCAATTTATTATAATATCTCTTTTATACATGGTTTTTGCTTCTATTATTTTCGCATCTTACCTGTGCAATGTATTGTACCTGATAGTTAGACTAGCTGAAGGAAGAATTGAAAAGGGAAGGTGCATTCTGTGGTAGTTCTGACTAACTGATGTATTCACACAGCATAAACAGCTGGCCGTAGAGACGTGAAATTTGGTAGACGTATTCCTTATATGATGTAGGCACTAGGCATCCAGTAAGAAAGTATTTTTCGAAATTCATATTCTAAGTGGGTAAGATAGGGGATTGAAGATTGTATGAAACTCTATCATTCTTAATGTGAAATACACAGAAAGTGGGGTTTAGCTTTAAGAAAAAAATAAGAAATATATTTATTTGATTATTTTCGAAATGCATCGCTTAAAGGGGGTAATTAAGTTTATATGGGTAAAGAATTATTTATGATTAGACTTACTTGACACTTGGTATTAGTGCTCTTCAATACAATTAAATAAATACGTGTTTTAGTAATCCCATAAGGGGGTAAAATGGGGGATGAAAGTTTGTATGAAACTCTGTTATTAATATGTAAGAAGGTGCAAAAAATAAAAATAACATATTTACCTGTAGATGATTTAAGAGTTTTAAGATCACTTTCTGTAAAAAGATGCCACATAGTCTTAAATATAAAGTTTGTGAGTTCACACATTTTGGTCGACCTATTGCTTCTGCCCACAACTTCTTCATTTTTTGTCTTTTTAAAAACAAATGATATCCATTTTCTTTGCATCCTGGTACTACACAATTTGTCATTTTAATTAAATTTTAAATAAAATGACAGAATCTCCATCCGCGCTATAGAGCTTTACAATATACTGAGGATCATAGTGATCGCGACATCTTGCGGGAGAAAAGGCAAAATTCTTCCCCATTATTTTTAAAGTTGGGAAAAATTTATTGGTATGAGAAGTGAGTTTGTCGAAATATAAATTCACACGCGAAACAAAGTTATGTAGATTCCGAATACAAAAAATAATTTAATAGATTGGGTAAAAGTAAAAAGCTCGCGTCGTGAACCGATATAATAACTTGTACTTAAATTAAAGCGTTCCATATACATATTATAACTTAATTTTTTTCACTCATCCGAAATATCCTATGAAAATAGATAAGTATGTTTGTATGGGCTGACACCGACTTCGAAAATATTTGATTAGGTATGTATTTACTCGGTAGGCTTTAATTACTTAGCCAAAGCACACCGACTTCGAAAATATTTGGTATAGTAAATGAAAACTACCAATCAGTTATTTTTTACTTTTTAGTGCTTTTATTTGAAGTCGTTTTTTATTTTTTTGTTAAAAAGTTTTTATATTGCATAGACTTACAGACTTACGTACAGAGAATGAAATATTAAATAGATTCATCATAAGTAGCTTATTTCATGGTTACTATATTTTTTGTAATATCTACTGTAAAAATGTATCGATTGTTGGAAATTTCAAAAGGACCTTACCGGCTGTTTGTTGTCTGTCTGTTAGTGAATAATAAAATACATAAAACCCTTAATTATGCTATATGCATTATACGAAACTTGTAGGCAAAGCAATAAATTGACTAAGTTTATGAAAATTGTATTATAATCTCTTTTTATTACGCGGCGTGGGATCATATTGAAGCCAAAATACTTATCGAAATCGAAAAAAAAATGTTCAAAGAATATTATTAAGCATTTGTGTGAATTGGTGAATGAAATATCAGTGCTGAACTCTAAAAGCAATCTAAAATTATTACAAAACAGTATATTTAAAAGAGGCTATAATGAGATAATATTGAGTAGACGATCTTATCAATTTTCATGGTTGGTAATTATATATAATAATGTAAAATATATAATATGTTTATTACGCTCGTAATATTAAAATTAATAGATATCCGCAAGTTTTGTCAGAGTCTAGAATGAACTATTAAACCACTCGGTGGGCCACAGTAAGCATCCAACAGTCATGGACCAAAATCGAATGTCTCGGGCAGAGTGCGCGCGCATCCCCCTCTCATGCCGCACCGCTCCGAACGCCCATTGATGATCTTCTTAATCTCAATATACTTTATGAACATAATATGTATGAAACTTAAGCAACGATATACTCGTGTATTTAATATAAATTAAAAATGTAGCTTTAGGGGTAGTACAGAAACGAAATCATAGTGATCTATAAATATTTGAATATATTGCGAATTTTAGCAACGGTGGGCGCTGGCCGTCGTATTTGCTACGTTTGGGCGTCGCTGCGTCTCGGCTTTCGGCGGGCGGACGGTGCGCGGCGGCGGCCGGCGACCGTGCGCGACAGCCGCCACGCACGCTCGCGACCCAGTCCGCTCTGACGTTTTACAAAGTCGCCGGTGTCGCCGTGTCGACCTGCTCGTTTTACTGTGCCGCCGCAAATTTATTGTGCGCATTTGCTAAGAAAATCGGTGTTGTAGAGAGTAGCGTGAGGACGAGAGTCGCCAGATAGAGTCGCGGTGTAGACGAGATAGAGTCGTTGCGGCGGTGCAGAGGTCACTCGGGCGAGTGGCTCGGGCTGCGGCGCCGGGAGCGCTCCGAAGCAGCTGGCGGTGTTTACACGCCGCGCCTGCACCCGCGGCGCCCGTGCGCTTGCTCGCTGCAACAGACACCCCTCATATACTATTCGCTGCTGTGAATTTTTAACTTAACGAACGAGCGACTTTAGAGGTATTTAATGCTTATTCAACCCGAATCTCCACAGTGAGCACAGTTGTAGCGCACATTGTCACAGTGTCACGAACCGCTCAACATACGCATCGAAACCGAATTGTCATAGTTCATTTGACTTCCGAGTGATATTACGAATATATAAGTATGGGTGCTAAAGAAAGCGTGGAGGCTGCTAAATTTTCTGCGCAAAATTGGAACAATTTCGAGGTTCGTAGTACCCTTAGATTAATTTGCACATGGAGTGTTTGTTTTCCCTACGTCCTGGTGTATTTATGTAATGTGGCCATAAATAATTATTAAATGAAATTAATTACTTCAAATAAACATTAAAATTGTATGCACAGTAAAGCAATGCAACCCTATGCATGTACACAGTTTGGTTAAAACTAATGGCTAAATATTTAATAACCCTGGTTTTTAAAGTGATGGTCGGCACGTACTTTTGAATTTAGTATTAATTTACGTTATTTAACTATGTATTTTGCGTTCTCAAAAATATATATAAATATAAAAAAGCAATGAATATTGCATAAAGTATGTATAAAGATGGTTTCTTGTATGACTTACTTTAAAAGTTCTACTATATTTTATCTGGTCCATAATTGAAACACGTCATGTGTTCAAAATTTAGTAATATACTTTCAAAAATTGTTTATAAAATAAATAAATTTGTCATATGCTGCATTACACTTCAAAAATAAAGAAATATGTTTATAACATTTAAATCTAGGATTAATGACTGAGTTTAAACCTAACTATCACATAAAAGTAATTCTAGTCTAGTCAGTTTTAAACTGGGAAGCCAAACTGGGCTGACCCACATATTGTAATGCGGCTCTTGAATTTTAATAGCTATTTAAAAGCATGGATTAGGCTTTGGACATAATATCAATGTAATCAAATGTTAAGTCTACGAGTACAAGAAAAGACAAAAATAAGTCCATAAACAGCATGGGGTGCATTATTATGCATATAGATACGTAACACCTTACCTTTAGTTATTATGTAGTTTGATAAGAAACATAGAACCTTAGATGATGCAATCAGGGCCATGTTATTAACTTACCTACTTGATTGACGCTTGACGCCTGCAGATTAAGGTCACCCACAACTACAATTCATAGGGCTTCAGACTCAAATGCAATAATGTATGATAAGATTTTTGCGGGAAATTATATATTCTATGATATACTTGACGTGTATTAGTATTTGCCTTTAAGCATTTTTAAATTGAAGTGTAGAGAAAACGATTTCAATTTTATTAGATTGCTAATACTTATGGATTAGAACATTTTTGTGTTAAATTATATAAGTACTAATAGGTTAAATAGAATTAGAAGTATGACGTAAGTAGTTTCTTTTCATATCTTCATCTCGCGGTCAATAAAATATAAAATATATACAGGTTGTCCTAATTGTGTGGATAAAATATGACTCATCGATGTAGACATCTATATTTGACTTGTTTTTTTAAGAGTTAAGGGATATAGTATGTTGATCTGTAGGACTTTAAGCGAACTGCATAATACTCGTAAGTTTTTAGTATTTTTTCATGCATGCCCACTTCATTTAACATAACACATAAATACCATTTATAAATAACACATGTTGACTTTAAATAAAATACATATATGTATCATCCGTCACTACAATGTGTGATAATGCGAAAAATATATTGTTTCAATAACTTTGCAATTTTTTAGTTGTAGTGTTGAATGATAAGCATGTTTTTTTTTGCATTTTTAATAATGCTTAACTTAAAATTGTATGTAATAATAAATACGTTTTTTTACTTTATTATATTTTTTTTTGTAAAATACTTTGAGTAAGTGTTAAATATTGTTCGTTATACATAAAATAAAAATTAAATCATTCTAATATATTTATATATTTGATGTCGTATGGATATTTTGCACAATAAAAAATATAAACACATTTTTAAATAATCGTATTACTTATGTACAGAGATAGTATTATGACGTTGAGTATACTTGCAGCATGGAGTTGTGAAACATCACTATAGACACGGGACGCAGCGCTCGCAGAGTCTTAACCGTGGACACTCCCTTTCGCGTTCCGATGGCACCTGGTGACATCACGGGACCACGGGTAATTGTTACACATAACAACTGCATATTATAATCTTTTAAAAAAATTAAGCAGTATATGAAATAGACATATATTTACTTAAACTATAAATTCAACTCTATCTATATTAATTATTCTTGGTATAAATGAGCTGAATATTTTAATAATCAAAACAATCGACGCTAATATAACATGAGGTTTAAAGATAAAGTTATTATATAAGTAAAGTAACACCAACACCGCCCACAGCCAGGTAAATGTCACTTATTTTCTCCTGGAAAATATTTTCCTCAGGGACTAAAATAGCAAAGTGTATATTATTGTAAGCTATGCCTACATAATGTAATATAAGCATTTATGAGCTTAATGCAATAATATAATTACATCAAATTTAATCTTAAGTTATAAATAACGAAAGTTTATTTGACATTTCATTCATTTAAATATTATTACAATATTAGGAAGAGAAATAAATAGTTCATAAGAAAATTGCTATTGTGAAAAATAACACTTTATAATAATATTACATTATGTTAAATAGATACTGTGATCACTTTACTATATGACAATTTTAGGCAGCGTAGTAACGTGCGCCGAGTGCGGCCAGCGCACGATGGGCAACAAGCTATCATCGTGTTCGTGCGCGCCCATCCTCCGCAAGGCGTACCGCTACGAGGACAGCCCGTGGCAGAACTCCCGCAGACGAGATGGACATCTTTTACGGTACAGTATTTCATGTATATTCCCCAATTTCTCGGAGTCTTACATGTTTTATATTTATACTCTCTATCTACTATTTATAATTTTATAGCTACCTAAATCTATAATTTTCTTAGAGAAAAAAAGTTGGTCGTCTCATCAAAACGAAAATTCAGCTTTATAGTAATATTTTTTTAAAATGGCTTAGGGTCCTAGCAAGACAGGACAGGACAGTTAATATTAAAAATGTGAATGTTTGATGATGAAGATTTTCAATCGATTTCAAAGCGGAGGAAGTACTCAATTCAGCTGTATGTTTTTGCTTGCATTGAATAACTTTAATGTTGTTATATATTTGAACTTATTAATAGATTTTTCTAATAACTACTACTACCCAAAAAATCTTTGAAGTTGTTTAATTTCTTCAGGTCAGAAACTATTTACATTTATCATTCTCAAAAATGATTATAAAGAAATGATATCGTTAAATGATAGGTATAATATTTATTTTTAAATTTGTATTTGAAAGATGTTTTTTCTTAGAAGACATAGCAATTTTTAGATATTTTTAATCCTCTATAAACAATACATCGATGAAGAAGACATGTCTTATTTAATTATACTTTATTAATGATTATACATATTATTATGTGATTTAAAACCTATCTATGTCATCTTCGCCGTAGTCTACACTCAATCTAGAAATAGCCCACAAAAATCCAGAAATAGTACAAAGCCAAAGATAGATAATTTCATAACATATATTTATTAGGTATATATTTATTACGCTTAACCCTCTTTTCCGTTTAGTAATATATTTTAAACGTAAGTATAAATTTATTGAGGCCCGTGCCCAGTAGTGGGACTTTAAAAAGGGCTTAATACAATTTTAGAACTTATGTAGCTATTTTTATTATTTTTTTATTTATTAGTCCGAGATGAATTTCTACAAACAGAAAATAATATTCCAGATCTTATTAAAAAAATGATCAATAGCAATTCCTGTGAAAAATAAAACATTATAAGTAGGTATAAAAAGAATTTAAAATGTTAGAAATAATATTATAATTTTATATACAGTATTAGTGAATACCTGTATTGTATTTCATTCGCAACTGATAAGTCATAAGTGCTAACTTTCTTAGATTTACGCGAATATTTGACATTTTAAATAAAACTATCTTTTCGGATTACTTCTTCGTCGAAACGTCGGGAACCAAAAATCAAAATAAATCCGCGAAATAATCCGAAAATATAGTCATAAGTGCTAATAAGTCCCAGTAGGTTTTCTTGATACACATTGCACATATAACCTTTAAAATGTTATATAAATAATTAAATAACCGCTATAAGTACGTCCACTATTAAAAATACTAAACTGTAGAAAATTTAAATTTTTTCATCAGTGATTTTCGTGTCAAAATACGATTTCCAGAAATATGAAAACCTAATCCTACCAACATTATAAACGCGAAAGTTTGTAAGAATGTATGTATGGATGTATGTTTGTTACTTTTCCACGCCAGAACGGCTGAACGAATCTGGATGAAATTTGGCACAGAGATATATTATCTCTATGTCTCTATGTCTGGAAGAACACATAGGCTACTTTTTATTACGTAAAAATATACGGTTCCCGAGGAATAGATTTGTTTTGTATTTCTAGAGGCGAACCCGAGCGAAGCGAGGATGAGCATCTAGTACCTAATAAAACAAACAATCAGGATTTTAACAGTCCAACTATTCTAAAATGGTTGGAAAAGTGAATATTTTATAAAATTGTGTTATTTATGACTCTCAGATAAGCTATATACCTACTACTATGCACGTCCACTACTAAAATATGTATAGTCCCACATGCGACGCGCACGCAATCCCTGTAGAGACAAGTAGGTCATACACGAAAACAAAATAATAATTGAGTAATGACCTATCTGTCACGTGAGCTCTACAATTTGCGCATAAATGCCATACATATTTAATGAAAACAACGCTATCACTGTGTCGTATAATATGATAAAGGTAAAAATAAAAAAATATCAAATCATTCATATTTATTGTGTTATCGGGCAAGTTATATTAAAATTTCATGAATATAAAACAGATTCTATGATTTTGAAATTATGATTAATGCCCAATATTCTATGTAAATACGCTAAATGTTTATCATTTTCAGACTTTGGGCTGAGGTATTTCACGTGTCGGCGAGCGGGGCCGGCACAGTAAAATGGCAGCAGGTGTCCGAGGACTTAGTTCCGGTGAATATCACCTGCATACAAGATTCACCTGAGTGCGTGTTTCACATCACCGCTTATAACTCGCAGGTCGACAAGATACTCGACGTTAGACTACTACAACCTGGTATGTTATTATGTATATTATTTAATTCACTTCACTTTACATGAATATATTTTATAGATAGAAACAAAGTAGAAATATTCGGTTTGAGTTAATTAAAACCTAAACGTAATATAAAAGTAAAGGCAACAGTAAGCACACTCATGTAGTTGCATTCATTATAAAACATCAAAATGTATTACAAATGTAGTTTACAAAATTCGCGCTAGTGTTTTGAAATTTTAACGTTAATCCAAATGTTTTTCTCGACTGCATAGTAGTGAGTTTTACGACCAAATCTGAAAGTAGCAATGTCGGCCGCTGTAACCTAGTTTTAAATTTACACTAGATGGTGCACGGATAATTGACCGAAATTCACGTATATGTGAAAATGAATATTGAATCTACTATTTCTTTTAGAATTTCGTAAGCTATAACGTATTCCGGTTTTTTAATTCTGTCCTAGAATCGATGATGCACTTTGGGTCATAATAGATACTCGTAGGTACATTATTCAGTATAATGACCCAAGTTTTATATTGACCACATGTTAAAATAATTCCTGTTTTGTAGCTTTAAATAAATATTATTTGATTATTTACAGCTTTAAATTATCATAATGTCAACAAACACTAATTATATTTTCTGTATTTCTGCATATAATTGGATAAAAAAATACTTTGATATTACTAGCAATTTAAATATTATTCAAACCAAACCGTGTACTAAAGAACAATATAATTGTTTTTAGTACAAGGTTTCGCTTAAAATAAAAAAATAAAAATAAAATTAAATATATTTTTTCTTTTTAGGTACTCGTATCGGCCAGGCATCAGAATGCTTCGTCTACTGGAAAGATCCGATGACCAACGACACATGGGGGCTCAACTTTACGTCACCAATCGACGCAAAACAATTTAGAGAATGTTGCGTAAGTTATATGATATTGTTTAAGTTCAAACATTTCACATTTCTCATTAATATTGAATCAGTTACGTAGACATTTTCGTAGATGAAACTACATAAAAATGCAAATACTGATTGTCATTGCTCATTCTTTTATAAATTAAATATTGTTTTACACTAAATATGAAATCTTTTTAGAAACTATTCAATACTATATTTTTGGTAGTGTTTAAGGTAAAGATTTATATAATATTTTCTAAAGAGATAGGTACAATGTACATATATCATATACATTCCATATGCATTGCTGACATTACCAAATAATCAAGTTGAACAGGGAAGAACAACAATAAACCACGGAACAGTAGATTCATCGTCGCAAAATCATTAACATGCGGCTGGCATTTTGTGATTTTAGTCACCGTCATTCAAATTCTCACGCAAGGCCTCCTCGAGCTACAGCCTGAAGCTGGAGCCGCCTGGTGCTAAGCAGAAATTCAAGACTAAAAGGAAACCAGTTTCTACCCCAGCCAGCCCAAATCGATCCAGGTAACATAAAATAATAAGATATATGAAGTAATACGGTAATACGAGTATATGACGATACTTTGAAAACTAAAGTCACAAATTAAAGTCAATTTTTTTATATATATATTTTGTAAAGATCAGAAAGATACAAAAAATAAGGTTCAGAATGTGTTCTAATATTAAATATTAAAATCATAATTAATAGGGATAAATATATATAAATACGCCTACAAGCAACAGAACAAAGGACGTAACATGCTGTATACATAAAACACTCGTTTTACTTTAAAGCCATAATCATGTAAAATTATTTTAAGTAGGTACGTACCTAATATTTATATAGTACGAATGTCAAAAAATGAATTATATTTTAATGCTGTGTATTGTACAAATTTTAGTATTTATGATTATTATTTACCTGTGCAGCCTCACCTATGGCCGTGAACCTCAATGCACTTGTATGACGCAAGAACAATATGCTAGATTAAGGGCTCAGGATCCACGTTACCGTGAGTAAAGCTTAAACAACAATCGATAGAAGATGATTAATCGTATATCCATTCAAAACTGCTATCAAAATAATAATTATAACTCTACCATAACATCTATCTACGCAATTAGTTTAAATAAGTACATTACAATTTTCCTTACGTATTTCCAATTTTCAATTCAATTTTCAAAGCGTGCTAGTTGAGCACAATATTTTCAATTTTATCATAAAGTTTTACGATATAAATAACAATCAAATGAATTATAACATAGCAAAAAATTATTCAAATGCTTATCGTAGAACGTATTCCTCATAGTAAAAATAAAATTTAGTGTAAGACCAAAGCACACATACTCGTAAAGTCAAACTCCACACAAAAAATGTTTGACGATGAAGAAACTTGTGTTCTTTTGGGCTAGGATCATCCACTCTGCCGCGTACAACTACACGTGCCATTGAAACAGATGCGGGAGGCGCGGCGCGAGCGGACAAGGTGGCTGCTGCCACCTCATCCACTTCGCTCTACGACAATGTCACCGGCTCGCAGCCGGCAGGCAACACACAAGCTCCGCCTAAACGTAAGTCTAACATAATAAATAAAAAAGTCTCACGTACACGATATACCTACTTAATTCAGTTTTAGTAGAGAAATGCTAAGTAATAATATCTTTAATGTGTACAAGTAATATTAATAAATTATTTTGTGTGATTTCGAAATTCGTACGTACGCATTGCATATATTTATTCTATAATATTTTATAAAAATAAAATCTCTACTGATATTTGAACTTAGCTGGAATTAATATATGTACAGACATTTGTTTAACTACATATTTACTTAATTTCATTTTTAACATTATTTAACACTCTGGAAAGAGATTACTTAATTGACAAAAACAAATAATATAATATTATGTAAAACTCATAACGTTTTACAAAAAAAATGTCTTATTGATTCTATTAGTAGAAATATCGTAAAAATTAATTTTTAAATAAACAAGTAAATGTATTCATTTAAACAATATTTAATTTTGATAATACATGATAAATTTAACTGCAAAATTCTATTCATCGGTTCGTGGGATTGTTTTTCATCAGCCATCAGTCAACGACCAACAAACATAATATGGAATTATTTTCTTCTGCCTCTACGAATAGGATTTTGGGCTGAAGAGCGACATAAGCTTGTTTTATTGCACTACATTAGAAAGTCTACGAGTATTTTGTATATTCTAGCAGGTTATTGAAGGACATGTAGAGAGCCATTAGGGCTCAAGAGAGAATACAAACCTTCTAATACTTTGAAACAAAACTTCTATTAATTGAGTAAAATATAGGGTCGCTTTATATATATTTTACTATTTATTCCAGCGGCTGCCCGTCAAACTGAATCGCAACCACCTTCGCGACCACCGAAATCACAGGAAACCTCAACCATGACAACTAATACTTCGACTGCTCCCAAAACTGTTACCGCATCTGTGGGCACTCATGGCACTAGTGTAAGTTTCAAATCTTATAAAACATAATATAGCCCCCTAGTACATCCAGCTGAAGAACTAAAAATAAAACGAGATCGACATAGTTTACCGCTGCTTTATATTTGTATATTTTAGGTGATGTTAATCTTCTGTTCTTATAAATTTTCACATTTAAAGTTTCCAATGTCAACAACAATAAAAGCCTTTTATCGAAAAAACCAACCAGTAGAAAAATCTATATAGAAAAATAAAATGAACCTTTTCATTACAATAACTGAGCTCACTAAATAAAATTAACTTATTTTGATTCGGCGCCAAACTAAGAACTCTTTTGTAAAAGACTGGTGTATTAGGATTATAAAACCTTGAGTGTCTTTGTAATTTAGGTTATAAAGCCAAATAATAATATATTTTTTACACCTTGCTTTAGTAAGAGGCTAAATACTCTGTTGTACAGAAAATTTTCAAGGAAAAAAGAAGGGCTGTAAAGGTTACATTTTAAGATAATTATTAAAAAACTTTATTTTCACACATAGCATCTTCAAGTCTATTATAGACATAATCCGTATAGATAGCAATTTCAACTATCAGAATATATATTTGATATGTTATTCCATAATTAAATTTATTGAACTTTACCTCTTCAGACTAACGAAGAATGTCAGACTAGTAGTGGACAGACAAATCAGCACGGACAAGATCTCAAGTCAGAGGGTGTTCAAGCAGGTGGTACACTCACCTCTTCCAAATCTTCGGCTACTTCCACACGCTCCAAAGAACATCTACAGCACATGCCGAAGAGTGTTGATTATGGAGACGGCAATGAATCCGTAAGTAGTTTTCAAACACGTAGTACATATTATGTATGTACATATATACGTAATAATGTGTGATTTAATATTTTTTGACAATATCAAAACCAAGTAATATAGAACTTAAGCTTAAATTACCTTGGTCATAAAAAAATTGAGTTTTTATTTTCCTGCGCTTTTTACAAACATTTTTTGACAGTTGGTTGCCGTGTATTGGTTCTGATAGGACTTTGATTATGTATGTAATGTTAAGTTTTATAAAAATAAAAGTGAAAAAAATTATTGGATTTAAACAAATAATTTCAGAAAAAATTTCGTATTTCATATAATATTAGTAAAAAAAATTCTTTTGTTTTAATATAAAATGTAGGAGTCTTGTCATATTAAATTAATTTCCAAATATATTTTTAAAACCACTGTTAAAATATAAGTTATATCATTTCATTCTAAATATAGTTCCTAATAGATATATAGAAATCTGACCTGATATTGCTTAAATATTAAAATCATACCATAAAACATTCCTCTCTAAAAACACTACTTAAAATATGAACTAAAACGATGTTTATTTAATCTGAGCGTATCATCTATAGCTTAATTGCAAGGTTTAAATAAAATATATATACATTAATTACAATAATAATACTGAGATATATAACATATTCTGGACATTTTGTATAAAGCAAAAAGCATATAGAAAAATATATGCGATACCTACATACATATAAAAAATTAATAACTGTTTAGTGAGCAATAACAGCCACTGCTTATTAAATGTTGTTCATATATTATGTATATGTAAGTTATTTGTACAATAAATATTGAATAATTGTCTTTTACAGTCTCGCGAGCAAGATCGGCATACGATGCATAACCACAACGTCATCAATAATAATACATCTGGATCGCGCCGTACGAAATCTAAGAGCACTGAAGACATGAATATGGGTAAGCAAAATAAAGTATATAATTAATTTTAATAACTATTGAATAGTAATAAATATGACAGAGCTTTCATTTATTGAATAAGTATAATAAGTCGAAAATAAGTTACTGTATATATTGCATGCTTTCTCTACTGTATATTCTAATACTACATGTTTTCGCAAATAAATACGAATATCTTTTCGCAAATAAATACGGCTCATCCTTGTGAAAATATGACTAAACAGAAGTTTTTTCGTTCTGATTAGAACAACTTTGCGAAAAATGGAGAACAAGTTTGTAAGATATGCCCACCTCGTCAATATAACTTTGCCTACCTTTGCTGTTCGTTGAGAAAATCACTACATAGTATAAAACAAAGTCGCTTCCCGCTGTCTGTCTGCCCTATGTATGCTTAGATCTTTAAAATCACGCAACGGATTTTGATGCGGTTTTTAATAGATAGTATAATTCAAGAGGAAGGTTTATATATATATATATATATATATATATATATATATATATATATATATAATACATGCATATTATAGTATAGAAAAGCCGAGAAATTACTAGGGACGAACCCGAGCTAAGCGACGGCGAGTCCCTAGTAGAGTATAAATAGGAATTTCCACATTTCTTTAACTTAACAATATATTACAATAAAATATCACATTTCAAAGTAAATTGAAATAAATGGATGAAATATGTATTTAACTCAGATTCGAGTACACTCAAACGAATGCTCAAGCCCATGCCGTCGACGGAGAGTCCGGTGACATCACCAGAGATGGGCCGTCGTCGGTACGCGGGCGGCGCGTGCCCGCCGAGCTGCGCGTCGCACGCGCACCGCCACCCGCACGCGCACCACGGACACTACGCGCACGTCGTGAACAACAACAGCCGGCAGGGATCGCAGCGATATTCCTCTACAAAGTGAGTTATATCTACATATTGTGTTAAATTTTAAAATATATTTTTTTTAGTTATGTATATGGTTAAAGTGGTATAAGGGAAAACATTTTCTTATATAATGTGGTCAAAAAATATACATTATCTAACTACTAACATTAAATACTGACACAGGAGCTTCTAAATCGTCATAAACCGTGTAACTTATTTAAATAAAAAAGTAACCCCATTTAATTTCAGAAATAAAATTTCCCTCTTAACATTTAAAGTAATTTTGAACCTGTATCTTTTAAGCTTAGAACTATTTATTGTTGTAGTAATATTATATGATAATATTTAATTACAGCCGCGGCGTGGGAGTGGGCGCGGCGCCCAGCGGGTACCCGGGGCGCGGCCTGTACCTGGAGCTGGGCGGCGGCGGCGGCGAGCGCGAGGCGTCGCCGCCCTCCGACAACGTCATGTTCGACAACCAGTGCTACGCGACGACGCCCTCGTCCTCCAACGGCAACTCCGACCAGGAGCCGTGCCAGCGACGCGATAGAGATCCGAGACATCATCATGGAGTAAATATGTTTTTAAATCATGATATATTCATAAAATATTAAATAATTTTACATATTATATAACATAAATAATAGTAATTAATCTCGGGATAATGCGTAGTTAAGGTCATAGTCATATTTAACCTCCTCGTGAGCATTTTCTTTGCATTTTACTTATCCTCATATTATGTTCCGTAGACTGTAATATTTATTTGTAATATAAAGTATTTCTTATACAAGACAGCAGTGATAGACCAATGAGTCGTACACGCGCTTGGAAACTGAGAGAAGCAGGTTTGAACCAGGGTCTCGCACTACTGAGATTTTCGTATGAGAACTTTATTTCCAAAATGATCACGACTTGTTAATACATTAAAGGAAAATGTCGTAAGAAAACTTGCAATATATATATAAACTGTTTTCTTTTTTTTTTTATTAATGATACTAATATTCCGCCCGCGTTCAGGTGAACAAAAGCCAAATTCTTAGAATTTACATATTAGTATACTCTTACATTGCAGTTTTTGTATTTTTTCTCAGAAATGAGATATTTTCCCACGGTAAAACGTATCCTATATGTTGACCCGGATAGCCAGCTCTCATCATACCAAATTTGATCAAAATCTGTGCAGTGGTTTTCTCGTGATGCGGTAACAGACAGACAGACAGACAGACAAAAATTCTAAAAACTATAGATTCGGCCTCTGTATCGATAATAATGACTATTTCAATAAGATTTTCCAAAAAATATTTAATGTACAGATTCGACCCAGTTAGAATTTTATTATATGTATAGATTACATTAATATTATAAATTGGAAAGCTTATGAGCTTCATGCTGTAAAGGTTCAACGAATTGGTGTTAACTGTGGTCAAGACATAATATACGGTCACTACACACTACTACGTTAATTGCAGTTCGCCGCCGCACTTATTTGTTTGTTCGGACAATTTCAGAAACCACTCGTACTGTATGCGTTTTCATACAATATTCTTCAGGAAGTACTGAGTAGTGGGCTATTATTTAAAAGATACTGTAAAAAATAATTTACAAAAAAAACCGATTGCGTAAAAAGCGAACTAAAAGCGTGAGAACAAGTTGACGATGAAACAGTAATATGCAATCGGAGGCAAACACGTTATGTACATCATACACGTAGCAAGGCTCGAAGTTAGTATAAAAACTGTATTATTTTTTCAAGACACAAATTTGCGCCTTAGATTCGCCATTTTGATTTTTAATGATATCTATATATGTATGTACATACCCTACGATACTCGCGTTATCAAGACGAATCTAACAACGACGTATCAATCATCAAAATCGGTTAAGTGATTACGAGGGAAAATAGGGCCAGAAATACATAATATTACGATATGATGATATTTTTGTATTTCGGAAAGAATCGTCCTTTCGGATGAGAATCTCCGTATATTATAAATTCGAAAGGCATCTCGGGATGTTAGCTAGGACTCTGGGTCACTAGTAATAAATAAAAACAGACATACAACTTCACGCTATATTCCTTGCGAGGCAGATAAAGAGAACAGACTGCCAAGCACTACTATCTCTACATATATGTGTCGTTTTTTCCATTAATATCATTCTATTCATACTTCCTCAGGGGTCCTCAATTTAACCAACAAGTGTTTATGTTTAAATATACTTTGCTTACTCATTTGAAAATATAGTTAATTTATAATCAGATTACCTTTAAATTTAATGGTTACAAATTAATAAAAAAAAAGTACTTTAATAAGAACAATTTAAAATTTATGTAATGACTACAACCATGAGCCGTTGTGATCAATAAATATAACAATATTATTAAAAAACAGCTTCTACATATTCTTTGAATTAAAATATATTGGAAAAGAGGCAAACTATTAAATTATAGAGGTGCTCCTTCAAATTCATTTTTTTTAGTTTATGTTTTAGTAAATAATCATAGGTATGTAAATCATATATTAAATAAAACACAAGGAACAAGTATAAACTAGTTCTACTAGTTCTTTTCGTTTCTTTGTGTTGTATTTATATGATTTCGTTTGTGCAAATTTTTGAAGTATGCACGTTATAAAATATAATTGTATATAAAAAATATAATAACAAAATATTTTAAATTTAAAATAAAATATTTTAGAGATGGCAGTGGTTGCCCAATAATGTGATGCACTCTTTTGGGAAATCAAGTTCTGTGTATGTATTCCAAATGCTTTACGGTGTAGGAAAACGTTATGAGAAATCCTGTTTATCTAAGAAGACTTAGCAATAATTCGAAAGACATGTGAAGTCTGCAAACCCATACTTGGCCAGCTTGGTGGGCTATGGCCTGATCCCCCATTGTATTAAAGGGCCCATGCTAAGCTGTGAGACGACTGAATAGACATACACTTTGTGGTGTGTGGTGTGATATTATATATTTTTTTTATATATAAGCTTTTATTCAACGTGTAATGTTTGTTAGTTGGTATGTATTATGAGTCAAATCTTGAAAGCTAAATTAGAACCAAGTCCATTTATACTACAGAATTAAAATTTTACATGTTTGTTCAGTTCCGATGAAAATGACTTTTTAAGATAACTATGACCTGATTCTCCATCTTGGATTGGCTTCAGACGAAGCAACTCCTTCACGGTCAACAGTACAGACGAAATTTTTTATACGTACGCATTCAATTATCATAGCCCGTTCTAAAGTCTACCATGGCTTGGCTGCTGCACCCAGAATTTGAGAGATTTCCTCAGCAGCCAACGGCACAGATACATGTTGTATATGCATCCAATTATGATTCGTTGTCTTAAATACGCTCATATCCTGACTTGTAAACTAAAAAATAGATAAATAAATGAATAGTAAGAAAATATTTTTTTTAAAACAAGCTTTTATTTTAATGCGCTCAAAAGATAAATGCGCTAGTAGTTAACCTATAAAAGTTTGTTTTTAAAATATTTTTTTGAAAATTAGTTTATATCACTACATAGTATAAAACAAAGTCGCTTCCCGCTGTCTGTCTGTCTCTATGTATGCTTAGATCTTTAAAACTATACAACGGATTTTGATGCGGTTTTCTTTCATAGAGTGATTCAAGAAGAAGGTTTGTATGTATAATACATGCATATTATAGTATCAGAATAGCCGAGAAATTCAAAGATATCGATTTCATACCAACCGTTGAAATGTACTTAGGGACGAACAGGGCGAGTCGCTAGTAATTTTTAAAATACAAATCGTAGCAGAAGCCGTGCCTGTCGCGCCAGGCGTCGCAGTCGAGCGCGACGCCGGCGCCGGGCTCGCCCACGTCGCGCCTGCTGCTCGAGTACGAGATGCACTTGCGCAACACCCTCGCCAAGGGCATGGACGCGGAGAGCTACAGCCTGCACACGTTTGAAGCTCTTTTGAGTCAGAGTATGGAAGATTTAGGTGAGTTTGTGTTTGGTTTTTGGTTATGATTTCGTTTGTTTTATTCATGTCGAAACAGTAGTAGTCGTAATATAATAACTAGTTAATTTTTTTAGTGTTAATCTATTAAACACTCAGAGTAAGATGTTTATTAACATAATGCAATCAATATGGTGTAAAATCAAATTAAACTTTAAGCACTATTTTAACTTTAAGTACTGACGTGACATCTCTCGTAAGGCTTATATTAGTTCATTGATTAAAAGCACCTACATCAGTACTTAAAGGTTAATAATACATTAGCTGTGGTAATGTGTAAAATATTTTTTTACGCTAATTAGTTAGCTCATTTATGTACAATGTACATATATTTTACACTAGCAACCCACTTCCTCAGGTATCTTTTGTCAACATTCTACAGGAACTGCTTAATACACTAAGATAAAAAGTATATAAAAACAAAGATATTATACTATAATTCATTTGAATTTAAGAGAGAATATAGCACTTGTTCCTTTCAGATTTTTTTTATATTTTATCAAGGATCAACAATTCACGTTCATTATGTTTCTTAAAAACTGCAGATTTTCACAGATTCATCTTTGAGTATTGAAAATTATTTTAATTCTCGTAGATGGTTGAGTGAAGTCCAGCACATTACCTCATATCTAATAAATCATCTATCTGACAAAACTTATAGGAGTGGTTTTCTTCTAGATTAAAATTATGGTACTAATACTATAATAAAAATGGGTACTAATACTTTACTTTAGCTCGCGTTTATTTAATGTATTTCTAACAAAGTTTAAGTTTTTTTTTCTAAAGTTTCCTGTGCCTATACAAATATCATAAAAAATCAGTATTAAGAGTAACTAATATGTTTTATTGTTTGTTTATTCTTGAAATGCTTGAAGATAATAGATAGCAATTAGGAGTTACTTAAAAGTTACGTTAAAAGTTTAAAAGATTTTATGTTTCAACTGCATAATTTTAATATGTGTTTTCTGTTTCATTTTCTTCTAAGCTACTGAATAATACATTTTGCCTAACCTTAGCCTCCTTATATGTTTTATGTAATATTAATAAAATAACTAAATATTAATGTTTTTATGTATATTACACAGAATACAACGATAATTTGCCACCTTCGAATCAGCGTAGCCCGTATCCGCCTCGTAGACGTGAGTTCATTATATATATATTTGTAACAGGTTATTTCTTATTCATACTTATTATTTTAATATAAAAAGTAGGTAATTAAATGATTTTGATAAATATACATTTTATAAAAAATAAATAAGTTTAAGTTTTCAATTTTGTCAGCGTGAGACACTTAGAAATAAAAGTTTTCCTTGGAATACTTTATTAATAAAATATTTTATTTTTTTTTAAATTAAAAAGTATACATCATTTTCTGATAGTTTCTAGTAATTGATAATTTTAAGAATGTGAAGCCGACGCGATGTCGAGAAATCTCTTTAACACATTTCCTAAGGGATTAAAGAAATTACAAGTCACAGTGTCATCATATTATTATTATTAAAAGAAAAAAGTTTCATAGATGGTTTGACGAGACGTTTGGCTCACTTTATAGTGGCCATACTTGCTGTGCCAGCGGTCGCACGTTGAAGTCGCGTTGGGGGCATCCATTTATGTGATGAGCACGAATGTTTGTGCTTCAGTTATGGGTGTTTATATTTATAATATGTATGTATTTAAAGTTATATGTGTGAAGTGTATCAACTATCTGGTATCCATAACACAAGCCTCGTATCTTACAATGGAACTAGATGGTGCTGAGTGTTAATGTCCCAACATATTTATTTATTTACATTTTATTTATATGAATTAAATATTGCGAAAATAAAAAAGTTTCATAAATATGCAAAATTAATACATCATACAGCAAAAAAATTATTATTAATTATTACGACTCTGGCTCATGCACCTAGGGTCTTTGATTTTGATTTATTGAAATTATGTAGTTTTTAATAGTATGATTAATTATAGTTGACATACTTTAGTGGTATAACTCTTTCTTCACCTTTTCTTTGTTTTGTATTGATATGAGTTCTGCCATAGTAAGAATATTCTGTAATAATTTTTATTTATTATAAACGTCACACGTCATAGCATTAGTAATCGTGCATTGGCTACGAAACTCTTATAAATACCTATATTAATTAAATTTTTTATTCAATTCAAAACCAATACCGAACCCACATAGGCTTATATACATTTTGGAGTTAAGTGAAAATTAAGACGAGATATATGAAAAAGTGAAGTAGGTACAGTGTAGTGTAGTGGGTGCTAGTGGTGAAATATAGAGCTCAGAGTAAATAACTACTATATTGAATTTAAGCTTTTGTAAAAAAGCAATGAACAATGTGTTGCAAATGATAAATTTTAAATTTTAATTTGATACGGTAACCGTGATATTTTTAATTTGCGAATTTTTTGTCAATTATATATTTTTAATTGTTTTTGCTCGCTCTATCTTCCAATATTTTGGCTGTATTATAATATCAATTCCAAGGCATTAGTTAAGCCCAGTGGTAACACGCTCGCTTGGGAAATCGAGTGAAGCGGATTCAAATCTCGGGTCTCGCACCTCTGATATTTTCATGTGCGAATCATTTCTAACATGATTACCACTTTCCTTACGATGAAGGAAAACATCGTGAGGGAACCTGCATGTCTGAGAAAACCTAGTACCTAAGTTTTCGAAAGACATGTGTTTTCCGCCTCCCCGCACCTGGCCAGCGTGGTGGACTATAGCTTGATCCCCCTCGTATTGAAGGTAGGCCTATGCCCAGCTGTGGGACGTTAAAAAGGGCCGAATGCACACATAATATAAATTCCACCGGTAAGTTTAAAATAAAATCTGTAAGATGTTGATTATTTATGAGTAAACATGGGTCTTCTTTCCCCTCTTAAATGAATTTGTATTTTTTTAACCGATATCAGGGTTGACACGTGTCGACTACTGGACTACTGACTTCATGGATTTCATGTTTTCAGCAGTTTAAGCTCGTATATCCAGTTAACATTTTATAAATATACAGAATCTCTTTTCTATTCTACATAATCTTCAGAGACTCATAGCTTTTTAATTTAATGCGTCTTCCTGGGGATTATAAAGCTTTTTCTGAATGTTGTGCCCTGCTTTCAAATCACGTTGAGCTAAGGTCAGCCATTATCAAATGGCAGCAACATGTCTCAAACACTTTCTTAAAAGGGATGATCTTATTTATTAAGAACTTCTGTGTAGTGTTTACAAACTTATTTAAAATTAAAAAAAATAAAGTTAGTAATATATAGACTTATTTTCTTAATAAATAAATATGTTGGGATATCAACACACAGCAACATCTAGCTCCATGGTAAACTACGAGGCTTATGTTATGGATACCAGATAGTTGATACACTACACATATATAAGTTTAAATACATACACATTATGAATTTACTCCATCATCCATGACTGGAATACAAACATTCGTGATCATCACACAGATGAATGCCCCAGCGGGACTCGAACTTGCGACCGCTGGCACAGCAAATAGGGTCATTACAAACGTAACCAAACGTGTCGTCAAAAATGAGTTATAAAATAAATTTGACATTATTTCTAGAAATATTGATTATAATATTTCTATATATAGGCCCAGCATCTCAGTGTTCTGGCGGAGGAAGTAGATCTTCAACGCTGCCTCTACCCCACCGCCTTGGCGTAGAAAGACAGCACAGTGCGCGTTCTGATCGAGATGGGTACTATAGGTGAGTACTGTTAATCATCTAATTATCATCTCCTCTCTAATTATCGTTTAATATCTTGATGTACTTTACTGGAGTTAAGGTAATACATGCTAGCATATTTCAATATACGATTCCAATACTCTATTTATTTATTTCTGCCCGCGACTTCGTTAACTTCACGCGTGACCTACATAAACTAAGTATTTTTTCGCAATAAAAATAACTTATGTGTGTCATTCCACGGAACATAGACCATGAAACTGGGCAGTATATTTCGAACTACTGCTGCTCCGTTTCTACGTGAAAGAGTTATATAACCTGAATCACGTTGTTTCATAAACAGAGTTATAATAAGAATGGAAAAATACCACCGGGATGTGCCACCGAAGCGTGTTTCATATATCATTAATTTCATATTATCTTCTAAACTGTTTAAGTGTATAGCCAAATGATATACTGTCAAGCAAAATCTCACCTCAATTAGATATTTGTGGTGCTTAAAATAAGTTGTATTTATAAATATTAATATTTTGTAGATTGAAAATTATATAAAAAATATTTTTCCGTTCGGGCGTATCCCTATTCCCTGGGTACGTTTTAACGGTTAGTATATAGACTATATAATACATAATGTGTATATGTGCATACATAGGTATAGAAAAGTAGGTAAGTACTTTAAAAAATCTAATCTAAAATCATTCCTTATTTTACTTTCATTGGTCAAAACGCCGTAACATTCTTTATTTCTTACCAAAATTATAGGACACTAGCATTGCCCGCGGCTCCGCCCGCGTTTTGAACCAAACTTAGGTTTTACATATAGTATACTCTTACATTGCACTTTTTGTATTTTTTCTCAGAAATGAGATACGCCCGCGTTCAGAACAAACTCCTAGGTTTTACATATAGTATACTTTTACATTGCAGTTTTTATATTTTTTCGGTAAAAAGTATCCTTTATGTTGACCCGGATAACCAGCTATTACCATACCAAATTTCATCAAAATCCCTCCAGTCTCTAACTTAAGAACTTTTTTCCTCAAAACAAACTTTTAACACCTATTTTACGACCTCCAAGTTCATTCATTCATTTTTGCGACAAAAGTTTACGATGTACGCACTTACTACGTATCCGTATTACTACGTATTACTACGTATTTTATATAAAGTAAAAAGTATGACTCAATCTAGAGAATAAGCTACTTCTATATCAAATTATACACAGATCCATCCATCCGTGAAGAGGGAACAAATGTTCTCACTTTACAAACTTTCGTATTTTTAGGGTCCCGCATTCTGCCTTATTTCCGTTCTACCTCAAAGGAAAAAAGGAATCCTTACAGGATCTCATTGTTCTCCGTTTGTCTGGCTGTCTGTCTGTCTAGACCCTTTTTCTTGGGAGCGCGCGGGAGGTATCAAGTTGGAATGAATATCAAATACCCAGGTCTGCAATCATTTGGGGCTGTGAAAAAATCTAACTTCTAAGTCAATGTAATCAAAAGGTACGGCCGTGCATGCCATGCCGCATATTTTGCAAGGTAATTAAAAATAAAGGAAAAAATCCGACAAGCGCGAATTTGTAGATTCATCCCTAATTTTATTTTTATTATAAACTTATTTCAATATTTTATGCTACGGAACCATCGGTTTGCGAGTTAGTCTCGGAATTGACCGATTTTTTTGTCATTAATTTGATTACGTAAACTTCGAGGTTAATTTCAAAGTTTGAAAAACCTATAATTTTTAATAGAAACATAACGCCGATATCCACATTTGCCAATAACTCAACATTATATCCTCAACACCCCTTCTTCCTCATTTTTTTCCTAAATCAGCCTTTCATATCACAGTTCACAATCAATGTGCACTGCTGGTATACAGTGAAAGAGAATACGGGGTCGACACTCTTAAATATTATTAAGATATTTTGAAATTGTTAATTGACACTAGATGTTACATAAAATAATTTACCAAAATAAAAAAAAACCCTATTGCGTAAAAAACGAACTGAAAAGATGAGAACAAGTTGACGAAAGAACGTATTGTGCGGTCGAAGAGAGTAGCTAGTTCCCTTTTGTATGTAATAACAAAATTTAGGTGTCTTATTTCGATAAAAATAAGTGGACTTATTATTTCTAAAATTTCTATAATGAAAAAGAAATATCATTTCTCATTTACTTTTTTTAAACACACGCATATGTACTTGATACTTTGGATAAAAATATTCGTTTATATACATCACTGTATGTACAAGTAATATGTTATCCATAATACAATAATTAGGATGATATGAATGTTTCATCTTTCTCATTAAAGCAAACAATGCAAGCACAAAAGTAAGTCAGCGCATCAACAACTGGGTCGTCTTTATATGCGATATTTAAAGAAAAAACACAACAGAAAAATTTTACTTAATGATTTTCAATAATCGCTAAAGAAATAAGTCTTTATTTATTTATTTTTTTCAGTTATCATGTCTCAAACATATGGATGTTATATAATATATTTAGTACTAGTAAGTTTACAACTGTAAACCATTTACAAAGATTCTAATAATGGTCTAAACATAAATACGAACTTACTTCCGCTACATAAAGTACCTATTTTTAAACGAAACAATTTGCGTTTTAATTTTGTCATCCGAAAAGCAATGAACAAAAGAGATTTGAAAAAAGTGCAATTCAAATTAGAACTTTGTACTTCTTTTTGTGAACACTTTTGAGACGCTAATTGTGTTTCTTAAGTTTTGTATAACAATTATGTAAACTGTTATATTTTTGCTAATTGAAAATAATTCAATATCAAGTGATGGATAAAAAGAAATCAAATTCATTTCGCTATCAAAATAAACATTAAAAAATTTATTGTAAAGTAATTTAATTTATGAAAAAATTAATTAAATAAATACTTATATTTATAATTTTTTTCTATGAAGAAAATACATTAGAACTTACAACTTTTTTCATTGTAATTCTACACTTACAAATAAAATTGTGTCTGCCCGTGATTTTCAAACACTTTCGAAAAAATAACATGGTTATTAGTGCGAATAAAATTTAAAAATGTTTTGCCTGATAATCCAAGAAAATATCGATTTTTCGGATACCTACCTAGGTAAGCTTATTTTAACGAGATTTTATTAATGGATTCAGATTAGAGCTATACTATGCTCAAGCTTGTTTTTATTCCCAAAACTAGTTTTTCTCCCGGGCAGAAGATAATCGGCTTTATCGATTTTAAGTGGATTTTCGCTAGCAACAAGTACATTTAGGTGACAGTGTTTACTGGTTACAGGTAGTTTATTTATCATCGTCATATGCAAGTATAGTAAAAGCAAGGCGTAGGCTTATTTTTTAATAAAATTTATCCATTGATCTATCTACAAATACACTAGTATTACTTATGAAAGAAATATTGAATGTCACATATTAAAGCGATAAATGCCCTTAAAATAAAACTATTTGTATATTGTATACTTTATGGCCTGATAAGGATTTAAAACATAAGAATAATTAAAGGGAAGACACGATTATATCACGTATATTATTACAGACAGACAGTCTTTCGGTTCAATGAATTTGTCGTCTAGCTGAAGTATACGATCCGGTCTTTAGTAAATAGAGATTAAATCCTTGCGTAGTTATATATTAGGTATATTACTTCAAAATAGTAAGTAATTACGAGTATAATGTAAATGTAATTATATTATAAATATAAGATACATATTCATCTATACATATAATAAAATTGTAACTAAGCCGAATCTGTACAATATATTTTGGAAAATCTTATTGAAATAGACTTTATTATCGATACAGAGGCCGAATATATAGTTGTTAAAATTCTTGTCAGTCTGTCTGTTTGTCTTTCTGTCTGTCTGTCTGTCTGTTACTGCATCACGGGAAAACCACTGGATCGATTTTGATGAGATTTGGTATGATGATAGCTGGTTATCCGGGTCAACATATAGGATACTTTTTACTCCGGGAAAATATCTCATTTCTGAGAAATCTATACTAAATGTTAAAACGTAACTAGAGAGCGCTAGATACGCTAGTCTATACTAATATTATAAATGTGAAAGTTTTGAGTATGGATGTATGGGTGTTTGGAACTCTTTCACGTCAGAACAGCTGAACGAATCTGGGTGAAATTTGGCACGGCGATAGATTATAGTCTGGAATAACATATAGGCTTTTTACCCCAGAAAAAGTGTGGTTCCCGTGGGATAGGTTTGTTTTTGTTTTCCTAGAGGCAAACCCGAGCGAAGCGAGGGTGAGCCACTAATTACAATATAATTCTCTATTTATATAAACATCTCGTAGTAAAATATATTTTTGTTAACCAGAAAAACATGTAAAGTTTTATTTTATAAGTATACAAACTAAAACTAATAAATAATATTCTTACTTTAGAAACTTTAAAAAAAAAGATGAATGTTGAGAATTCTCTTATCTCAATCGATCAATTAATGTCACGGTATATTTCATCCCTATTATTAAGAGAAGCCAATTTATTTCTTTATAACTTTCCAAGACTTAATATTTGTATTGTTTAGATTCTTTTTATTAATGTAGATTAAAATTTAAGTTATTTATGCAATTGTATACACCTACATTCATAAAGACAATGTAAAATATTTGAATACAGCTAATATTAGAAAATTCTCTTATTTTGGCCCTGATATTTGAAACTGACATTCTTTCTCGTATAAATCGATTGTTCGCATTTTAATCTACGTTTTGATTAAAACACGGTATTGTTCTAGCGATCGCAACGAGCTGATGCGGGAGCGCGAGAGGGAGCGGGAGCGGGAGCGGGGCTACCTCAGTGATCATAATACGAGGTTCGTTCATGTTTTATTTGCACTGCAAAAACTACGCAATTTTTACATTCTTTAATAACTAGCTTTTAGAATTCATTGTAAGGATTCTCTACGCCACTATGCACATCTATATATCATCTATTTACGTGGTTCAGTTTATAATGTATTAACTTTTTTATAGAGACCGTATACGAGACAGAGATCAAGGCTACCTTAGTGATCATCAGTCAAGGTGAGTGGAAAAAAATATTAAAATATATAATTAGATAGTACTTTAAAAAGGATGTATTAAGATAAGTCAATATGAATCATTTAAAGGAATGAAAATGAATGAAATGAAATGACGATGATGTGTTGTTTTCATAAAAACTTCACTTTAAAACATATACCTAATTACTTTTTATCCATGTGCGGATTTGCTGGTTTCGTTTAGAATTTGCGTCGTCTGATGACACCATTGAATGAAATAATTATTTTAAAGAACAAAAATTGTTTACTTAAATTTTATTTATTACTATTGACCCGCGGCCATACATGCCTTTTGCATATATTTACGCAAGGTGTAGGAGGGAACGATTTTTTCGAGTCAATTATTACAAGTAGCTTATTTTCGCAAAATGCTGTATGAACTTCCTTGATAATCCCTCTTTCTATCGATAACTAGCAAAACCCGCGATACTACGCGACTACGGCTTCGCCCGCGTTCAATCTACAAAAAAAAAACTCTTTAGCTTTATGTTATCATCGCCTATTTTACCCTCTTAGGGGTTTTATTTTAGAAAACGCTAAAATACGTAACTCATTATTTTTGTCGTACTCAATTCATACGAAATTTCATGCAAATATGTCCCAGGAATAAAAAGTTTCATACAATCTTTAACCATCCTATTTCACCCCCTTGGGGATTGAATTTTTAAAAAACCTTCCTTTGTGGATGCCTTCGTCATATGAGAAATACGTGTGCGAAATATCAATTTTCTATATATATATATATATATATATATATATATATATATATATATATATATATATATATAAGGCAAAAGTGAAACTCAAAAAAACGCAAGTCAATCGGCGCGACAGAAAAGAATATTGAAGAATTTATCTGAGTACCTGCTCTGAATGTTGTAATAAGTATTAAAACTAAGAAAATAATTGAACTAACACGAAGCTTAAAAACTTTACGTCATCATCCAGTTCGCTTTTTGGTTATTCAACATAAAAGGTAGCAGCTGGAATTCGCAATATAAAGGAGCATGAGTGTAGGTAACATAATGACATCGTTTTGTTATCTCTCTACCCAACTCGTAAGATAGTTAAATATTTCGAGGAATTATATTATATAAGTAGATAGGCATGTATAAACATTAGATGGAGTCGGATAAAACTTTAAAATTTAAACAAGGCTTGTTAGAAAAACTATAAACTATTCTATTGATAGAGTTTCTATAATTCCTTAGAAGTGTAAATGCAAAATACATATTATATTATTTATAGATAAATATTTATTTTTGGTTATTTTAAATTGATTTAAAAATAAATATTATATAAAGGGACTTCATTTATAAACTTATACAACACTGTCGACACATATGTATTTGACTTTAAAGCCTCAGGTGCGCGCTACAGTTTCTAGTTGAACTTTGACCTTAAATTTTGCATCGTGAATCTATGTTTTAGAATCTGCTAATCATAATATTTTACATTTTAAAATGTAAAAAAAACAATATATCTAAATATAGAAATATATTTTTAGTTTTATCTTTTAATTTCATTCTTATTATGTCTGCTTTCGGACCAGCGTAATATAATTTTACAATTATCTTGTAACGTTATTAGTAGAATAATGTGATGACACAATAATTTGTATATTAAAATCACTGGAAATTCGGCAAGCCGGTTGATACCTTTGCGGTCGTGGGCGTAGGATGATGTATATAACGTGAAATGGGCAACGTGGGAAAGTCATTAATTATTCTTAAAATAAATTATCTTCTTATCGTTAACGAATTAATATTTTTTTAATAAATATCATAAATATATAGAAAAAGGGTAAACACAATAGGTAGATTTTTGTTTTTGTCAGAGTATTTTATATTACATTAATAATAATTAAGAATAAAATAAGCTTGATAATCGATTCTAAATACCAACATTGCAAAGAAACACACAAAACCATAACAAAAGGGTATCTAATACTTAGAAAAATACCATACTATTTGGAATTCTATTAAAAACATGCTCGTTTTATAGGACACTTTCCGCTGCGAGGCACTACTTGGCCGCTTATCCGAGATTTCTCCCAGTTTAGATGAACAGATGGATAGTATAACATTTGTACCACAGGTTACGCAGCTGGGTCACCTATAGTTCGCTTAGGTGGTAACGATTTATATTCACGTATATTATTCATTTATATGTATTATTTACATACAAATAAAAATAGATTTATTTTAATATTCTTTATTAATATAATAATTACTGTTTATATATATAACACATTAATAACATAACTAAAATTATCAAACTTAAACATATGAGTAATTGTAACCTAAATCAAGATATTTTAAACACTATGTTATATGTTTTTCTTTTAAACTTTTAAAAAACTTAAAAAAACACTCAAATATTCAATTTTGATTTTCTTACTAAAACTACTACTCTACTAAAAATTAAAGGAATCTTTGAGCTATACGGTATGTAATATTTTTATTCATTTCTTTTGATTATGCAATTAAAGATAAATTAAAATATTACTCAAAATTAAAATAAATACAATTTTCAATATCCAATCAAACAACTTAAATAAAATTATTAATAAATAAATAAATTGCTTTGATATTGAAAATCAAATATCAAAATATGAAATACGTTGAGCTATATGATATAAAAGCTGGGCACGGAATCGTTCTCCTGTACATTTCCTCTCATAATACCAACCCTGTTAAACTCCTAATAGATTCGAAGCGGGTTTCAACCTGACACGAAACTGTTGTGACTCCAGGGGATTGTCGAAATGTCCATTCTGAATTAGGTTACCTAATGGAAGAAACGGATTGATTTTCTGTTTTACCTGTACATTCGTTATTTTTACACATCGTGCCCTCTTCTTCAATTTTAATACTGTTTTTAAACTTTAGTTCACATTTTTAAACTCTCTCATTTTTATTACTTCAATCGATTACTTCGAATAAATTAACAATTTTATTAAGGTTATTTTAAAAAAATCAACAAAAAATATAGAGAAATATACCTTTTATTTATTATGCGATGACAAATCTAAAGAATATGTCTCTACACAATGAGCTCTACTGTGATTCAGCTCTCTTCAGCTTTTTACAGTTATTAAGCATGTCAGTATTTGTCTCGAAATATAAAAATAGTGAAAACCTCGCCGTTTCAAAATCGATAAAATTACCACACTTAAAAATAAATCTACCAGGACATGCGTACTATGAGGAAATTAAGTAGGTTTAGTTTTTTTTAAAGAAAAAGGTTATTTATTTATATTTCTGTTAAGTTTTTTATCCTCTTCAAAGGAATCAGATGTTCTTCGAATTTAAAAACGGTGTATAAAAACAGTATTTATTTAAACAGGACACATGTGTAAAGTCATATCATTACGCTTCGTAGAGAGAACTGTTGTGTTAAATGCATTGAAATAGCGCATTATCTCGGATATCTCTCGTAAACCATCTCAAGTTTTTAATGTAGCGCTATATTGAAAGTTCACCTTTACGACAAAGTTCCTGAGTGTTGTTCCCTTAACGTGTTTATAAAACCGGGTTATAGGTGATCTGGTAGTTAACAGTTAATCTCACATATATACTCTCATTAAATGTTATCTATTGAATAAAGCTTTTACGTTCTTTTTTATCGTTTACAATATTAAATCAAACATTATATATATATATATATATATATATATATATATATATATATATATATATATATTAAATCTTCAGTATTGTCGATCAAGGAAAAATTTAAAAGAGTATATTGGTTTGATTTACTTAAAATGTTTTTCACGTCCTACTATTTTGAACTTCTTATTTGTAATGGATTCCGCTAATTTAATCCCCGTAAGAAACAAATTGCATTCATATTAATATATAGATGTTATCTAGGTAATATACTTATGTTGAGATTATCAACGCATTATCAATAGAAATTTCTATTCACATAGTGAAAAAGGTTATCATTACCTATTTCTTTTCATATCGATTTCATCAAAGGGTTTAGGTAAAAATTTTCAAATATTAATATAGGTCTTAGGTTTACGCGAATATTTGTTATTTTAAATAAAACTATCTTTTCGGATTTTTTCGGACGTTTCGAATGCTTTACAGCAATCACGGTCACGGGAGAGAGTAAGGTTTATGATGTGTCAAAAGCATCCGAAGAGATAGTTTTATTAAAATATTAATATAGGTGTTTTAATATAAGTGTTAAAAACATATTTGTTATCAGCTTTGTAAGTGCTTCCCGTTGCGCGTCGTGCATCGGTGAGTCCGCGCGCGCGGCGTGGTACCGCCACTCGGACGGCTGGCGCGCCGCGCCGGCGCCGGGCGCGCGGCGCTCGCCTTGGGACTCGCTCCCCAGCCTGCGACATGAAGGCAGCCTCAACGACTCAGGATATCGAAGCAACAGAGCTGACAGCTTTGAACAGCGGTGAGTGTATTGATATCAGAATTTAATTTGTATACATTTCATGTGTATCGTTATCTATTACCTATTGAGTTTTATTAGGTAAGCGAGAGCTGTTCATTCGCTTATGGATTCATTAGGTAATTTACGACGATCACAAAACATCTACGAGGCGGGCTATAAGAAGAAATGTGCTTATTACAGCGGAAAGCGCTTCTTTAATATCTCATTCAAATGTCATCACAAGTCTATTGTCTTGGTTTATGCAGTCAACATGAACCTTGTTCATTCTCGAATGTTACAGAAACTTATTTAAATACAATGTATTCGACATTTTATTATTAGTATTAAAAAGTATTTGAACATAATACTTCTGCTTATTTTACTACGAGTATTAGCGGTTCACACTCGCTTCGCTAGTGTTCGCCTTTAGAAAAACACAAACAAATCTCTCCCTCGGGAACCGCATAGTTTTCCGGGATAGAAAGTATGTATTATTCCAGACTATAATCTATCTCTGTGCCAAATTTCATCCAGATCGGTTCATCCGTTTTAACGTTAAAGAGTAACAAACATCCATACATACTCACAAACTTACACATCTGTATAAATATTATAAATGCTTATAATATTTATACGGACTAGCTAGATAGAAAAGCACAAAAAATCTATCCCACGGGAACCGTTCATTTTTCCTGGATAAAAAGTAAGCTGTTGTTTAACCGGTAATATAAGCTATCAGCATGCCAAATTTTACTAAATTAGGTGCTTAAGTTGTGTACTAAGCTGTATAAGTTACTCTAGTTTTTTAACTATCCCACGGAAACTCTTAAGTAAGTATCTTAAATGTTGTACGTCCAACATTTTCGGAGATTAGCTCGTACAAACAGACTAACAGACAGATAAACAAAAAAAATTAAAAAAAACTGGATTTGTTCTATTTCTCTTCTTATGTCTCCTTGATTCGATTTTAAGCATTTATTTCTATGTAGACAGACATTCGACCTCTACAGTTTTATTATATGTATATATATTTTTCTTTTTTGTTATCTTTCAAAATTTATTTCGAGAGTAATAGAATTTCATCTGCGTGTGAAAACCTCGTCAAGTTTAGTCTTAATAGTAAATTGGAAACATGTTTTACTTTGTCTTTCTGAAATCTTAATTAAAAGCTTGCTACAGAAATTAAATTGAAGAAATTGTGAATTAAAAATCTTTTATACTCTATTAATACTCCGATGAGAACTGAATTTTCATATAACTTTTGAAAATGTGTAAGTATAGTCTGCACAGCTTAAAAGCACGTAAATTAAATTAATTTACATTGACTTTAAATTAGTCATATTCGTTTCTCATACACTTGACATATGTCACGTAAGTATGATTAAAAATTAATATATAATACTTTCTTAGATTTACGCGAATATTTGACATTTTAAATAAAACTATCTTTTCGGATTTTGTCGCGGATTTATTTGGATTTTAATTTCCCGACGTTTCGAATGCTTTACAGCATCCATGGTCACGGGAGAGACTGATCCATGGTCTCTCCCGTGACCATGGATGCTGTAAAGCATTCGAAACGTCGGGAAATTAAAATCCAAATAAATCCGCGACAAAATCCGAAAAGATAGTTTTATTTAAAAATTAATATAATTAACTTATTCCTAAAAGTGAATAATGATTGTACAATAAATACTTTAGAAAAATATTAAAAATATACTTATTTATATTTTAACTACCATTGCCCGCGGCTCCGCCCGCGTTCAGATGACCAAAAACCAAAAACAATTTTATTATATGTACAGAAGTATGAATTAAAATGACAAATGAAGAGTTTGAGGTCACAAGTGATACCTACCTATAGTTTGCAGTCGAATCTGACCTATTTAGTTAATCATTGCAAAAAACAAATAATATGTCTTTGTTTTACATATATTTATTAAAAAAACATGCTATCTTTGTAGAATACGAGCAAGTTTTCTTTTAATGATGATATCATTAGACTGATCCGATTTCAAGTACATACTCATCGTGGAACTCTTTGTATTGTATACATGTTAGCTGCAGCTATAATTTTACGATATTATCGAGAATGTATAACCTACCTCTAAGGGCCATCCATTCACCTACATGAATGAATATATTACCACATAGATTATTATATTATACTGAGTCAAATCTGTACATTAAATATTTTTGTGGAAAATCTAATTAAAATAGTCATTTTTATCGATACAGAGCCCGAATCTATAGTTTTTAGAACTTTTTTCTGTCTATCTGTCTGTCTGACCGTGACCGCATCACGGGAAAACACCACTAGAGGGATTTTGATGAAATTTTAAAAAATAAAGCTGGTTATCCGGGTCAACATATAGGATACTTTTTACTGCGGGAAAATATCTCATCTCCGAGAAATCTGTACTAAACCTTAAAGCGTAATTCTAGGGACGAACCCAAGCGGCGCGAGGGTGAGTCGCTAGTTCCTTATAAATTTCGTATTGGTGGTTTTACCTTTATTCATTAACCTACAAATTTTGCACGTCATGCAAAATAGTTCATGCCGGTTAATTGATGACTGATTATAACGACCCCGTGCAAGTGGAAATTAAGCTTGGAGAGCCAGTGAAGCATTAAGTCTAAAAATATAATAAACTAGCACTTTCCGTGGCTTTGCCCGCTTTCAAACTTACAGTCACTAATAAACTTCACAGGTTCACCCGCTGGGCTAATTTGAAGATTGTTTGAAAATATCATTAAAATCGCTGCAGCCGTTTTGGAGTCCATAGGAAACATACATACACACATGTGTGTGACATTTTCAGTCGATCAAAATGGCTAAATCTACTAATAATAATAAACAAAAGACCAATCATTATACACAAAATACAATTTATTTTATTTTTAGATAAAGTCAATATGTTTATTTGAAAACTAGAAGTTGGTTTACATTTGGACTAGACGTAGGTACGTTTTAACAGTTTAAGTATGAAACAGATATACTATATATTATATATGTATATACATAGGTATAATGAGTTATTGTGGGTTATATTATAACATGTTTTTCCGTGAGAATAAGATAATCTCCCGCGGTTAAAAGTGTCCTATGTCCCTCTCTACCCCTCCAACCATCTCGTCGCAATCCGTCACTGTTTTGACGTGAAAGTAGGACAAACAAATAAACAAACAAACACACTTTTACATTTACAATATTAAGTATGTATTTTGAAAAGAATGCTAAAGGAAATTTATTACTTTAATAATTAATCTTTGGACTCACCAAAATAACATTCGTACTAATAAACCGTCACATATTGTTTTTATAAAAAAATGTCCAATCAAAAATTATATTATTTTTTTTTATAATTTTAGAAACTGAATACTTCAAATTAAACTTTAAGAGATAAATCTATACTACAATAAAGCAGTAACAGAGACTTAGCGAAATCTGTACACAAAATATTTTTTAAAACAATGACTGTAACGTATATAATATAACTCCAAAACTATAGTTAAAAAAATTGTCTGTTTGTCTGTATGTCTGTTTGTGTGTGCGAGTTTTACACAAAAAGTAATGAATCGATTTCACCGACTTTTACTTTTTATCTATACATATAATAAAACAGTGATTGCGCGAAATTGATGTGCGCGTTTCAGGCAAAAAATAGTGATCCTATTTTATATAAATTTTGTGTAGTAATAACTAATAAGTTGACCCGACTAAAATGTTGACCCGACTAATAACTCGGGTCGTAGTCCCGAGTAATAGTCGGTCATACCCATACAGTGAATCCGACTGGGACTTGACTAGTCTTACCACCTCCAGGTAAATTTCTAAGAAATTAATGAAAAAATTTAATTATCTACTTGCGTCATAAAATATTACGTTAAGCATGCACATATTTATTTATTTGCAGCAAAAATGTTTCTATTAGGTAGGCATAGATTTTTTTAGAGACGGAAAAACATGTTAGGATATACCGTAAATAATACATTTTAGCCATGAATCTCTCAACAGATCAATAGTCCCGCAAAGTTTCGTTCTTCGCTATCTAAGTGTACGTTCACACAGCGTCGTGTTTATCTCTACCGAAACAGTTTTTGCAGAATTCGGTTTAGTGGCACGGCAAAAAGACCTAATCTTGCCGAAGTTGACATCCGATTTAGCGACTACAAATCGATCCAGCGGTACTGCAAAATGTAGGATCCGGTGAACTGCCATAGCGCATTCAATACATGCGTTTTTACGATACAAGCAGGCGTAGATTCGGTTATTTGCCTGATCTTGAAACCGAATACATGTCGGGTCGCACAAGGGGTTTTTTGTTTTCGCAAAAGATTATCAAATGAAGGTATAGTCATAGTCAAGAAAGTAAAGTAGTTATAAAATTTTAGTGGATCATTTTTCAACTGCCGCATTAGAGTTGCAAAGGCACCAACTGGATAATATCAGTACAATAAAAGGGAGTGTGCGCATTCCTGCAAAAAACCGGATGGTGGTGGTGGTGGACGGTGGAGGGTGGTGGTCACACGGGATCCCGATTCGGGGCCGTCGCATACGGCAACACAAGATGTGCTACGTAAACACAACATTCGGTTTTCCCAGATCCGATGAAAATCAAATCCAGCAAAATGTGTCTCCGTGTGAACGTAGCGTAACTTTTCAGGGCTATGTCCTCTCTTTTCAGAACTATTAATAAAATATTAACTTTTACCAAGTGATTATCATGTAAAAACTAAGAATGATATTATAAAGCTTGCAATAACATCGAATCTCGTAGTTTTCCAAGAAAAAATCATCGACAAACTTTAATAATGAGGATAATTTTGGTCAAAGCGAAATATTAACCACTTTTTATTTAATTTAGAAGAAAATTAATAGTGTAAGTAGGATGGCGACTTTCTAAACGATCTTCAATAGGTTGTCGGTAGCCTTTAATTCCTTGATTAACCTTCGTGTTACGTAATAAGAGGATAGCTAGAACTGAAATTCGAATCTCGGATTACTGTAAAACCACACGTAACCCAATTTCATAAATTCTTGTAACTACAGAGTCCATGTACAATTTTGACTTATAACGCACGTACAGTGTACGTCATGTGAAATGTTTTAAAATTTTGCTAAATGACGTCACATAAAAATAATAAAAATTATATTACCGGAGCGAAAAAAGTATTTTCACAAGTTGTAAAAATACCCTTTATTACTTTTTATTTTGCTGTAGCTGTCACGTACTAAGAACATTACCCCAAGTTTTATTACGAATTTTTCCTTGTTCAGTGTGTGATTTTATAGCACGCACACAATCTTTTATGGCGAAAAACGCTGGCGATACTTACGCTACTATATTGCGTATTCAAAAGTTAGAAGTCTGTTTTGTTAATTAACACTTTGGTATTTTTATTGAATTTATTCTATACACATATTAAAAAATAGCAATGGTGTTCTAAATATATTTTTAACTTTTGTGAAAGATAATTTTTGTGTTGTTTTACTAAACAATATGTATTCTATTTGGTTACAGAGGTGTTTTCGATCGACAAGATAGTGTTAGGTCTGAGTACACAAGTGATCGTGAGTCCTCCCGCTATGGCATCGTTCAACAAGCCTCCATTGATAGCACAGATTCAAGAATTTGCTACTTAACTTCAAGTGAGGTAAGTGGTAATCGTTTTTATATATACCTAATATTACATTTATTTTCAAGAAAAGTAAGTTATAGAACAAGAAATAAGTTATTAAAACAAAAATAAGTTTATACTAGTGTATAAAATTGATAATGTTTATGAGGAAAGGATAATAAAATACATATATAATACAAATTGTAAAGTTCATAATTAAAAAAAATGTTACAATATATATGTATGTTCTCTTCTAAGTTTTAGAATAGTAGTATTTAAAATAATTTTCCGACGTTACTTCTACATAATTCTGGACACTAAACGTAAAATGCTTATCTCCGACTTATTTTCTAAAAATGATTTCAATTACCCATTTATGTTTTGAAATAGGGCGCTCTTTACCCAACACAGACGGCACTTAACCTATGGAGAAATGTAATGGCTGCTATGCGGTAAACTTTAACATTTTATGTTCTTTCAATAGAATGTAACGAGGGATAAAATCCCAGACATGTACATACTTTAGAAATTAGCCCTCGTTCTGCAAAACTTTTAGATTGTTGACTTTTTATACTTTTACGGCTAGACGCTGAAATTTTTACTGACAACGAAATGGATTTCAAACAAAACTTTCTCATTATTAGAGATTACTTATTAAAAAGACATCGATTAAGAAGCGATGATATCTTAAGTGATATATTTATTATAATGTACAGGTATTAGTAATTATTTTTCTTAGAGAGATCATCGGGTTAAATCATATTAATAATAAAGTTGCTATAGCCTCCACAAGAGTTATGGTATGAATCAATAGGCTGACAATGTTTCTGCTAATACTTTTTTAAACTAACTAAATTTTCACACTGTGAAAAATGAAATTAAATATTTGAAAATCAAAATATACTTTATTAAAATAGAAACTTTTACTAGCAATTTGGAATCGTAAATTTATGTATAAGTATAAATATATTTAAATGATATCACCAAATGATATCTGCCACAACTTGCTTCGAAAATAGTTCTGTAACAAATAAAATAATGAACATCGCTTAAAAAGAATTACGTCAGAAAAATCAAGAAGCCGTATTGTCACTGAGTCTTGTGTTTAAAATTGCCGAGAATTACGATCTTCCAGGCTGTAACACACACTAAATTATACATTATAGAAAAATAACATACTCGTAGTACGAAAAGTACTATATTTTCATCGTAAATCAATTGTCGCGCTTATGCGTAATATTTGCGTATATGTAATGTTTTTTTTATTGATTTAATATATTTTTATGCACAATTTAAAAAAAAATAGCATTCTGCAATCCTTTTCTATATAAACTATAAGTGTGAAAAATTTCATACTTCTCCGTCCGCGAAATTTTCGTAAAAAGGGTACAAACTTTTTGCTTCACGTATTAATATATAGATAATAATGTCCTCAGACCGATTTCGGTCACAGCGGCCAATCTAATTGAGACTAGCCATCTGCGCAGGAGTTATTACAGTGCACAAGTGTACGCGCAGACACAACGTGCACTCTCTATTCCTGTCCCTTTCATACTCTGGTGGTCTGACTACTTGACACGATTAGTAAGAGTTAAGACGCAGAGCCGACGGCTTTACGTGCTGTTATTCTATATGTCAAGAAATTCTCAGTACAATTCCGGACTGACAGAAATACTCAATAACTGAACTTGGCCCGACCCGGGATCTGAATTCAAGATATCCAGATCTGCGGCCGAACATGCTAGCCACTAAACACCAAGCAGTAAATGATTATTCCACTCTTAACTGTTAATTTTCACCATACACACAAACCCTTAACTGACAATGCTTTTTATCTACCTTTTTGAAGTTAGTTAAAAATCTTTTGTATTTTGAAAAAACATTTATCAATATCAGCAATCTTGCTCCACCGTGTACAAGATAGTATGAAAATAAACATCGACATCCGTTTACTGATACGTGTGAACATGTCTAACTTCAAAGCCTGTATTTACATGCAAAAACCTTGCGGCTTCACGGCAATAACTTCCCAAAAATATAAATAAGTCTGTAGCTTTCGTATTTTTTTCTATTTATAAATGGACTGAATTTCTGGTTTTCTTCAATGGTAAAAGTGAACATAACAAAATTATGTACTGACTAGCAACTGACTAGTAGTACTATGTACTGACTAGCAAAACCCGCGGCTTTGCTCGCGCTAAAACTCCCAAAACAAATCTAAAAAAGTAGGTTCCATACAAATTTTCATTCTCTATTTTACCCCGACGAATTAATTCTGTTCATAAATATTTTTTTGACTTGTATTATTATCGTATTTTCCCGTGGGAATAAGATAATCTCCCGCGGTAAAAAGTAGCTCATGTCACTCTCCAGCCCTCCTACTATCTTCACACAAAAATCACGCCAATTCGTCACTCGGTTTCGACATGAAAGAAGGACAAACAAACAAACACACTTTCACATTTATAATATTAAAGTATATCGTAGTATGGTTTCCTTTATTTATTCCAGTGAATTTTAAAACATTTGAATCCTTTGAATTCGGTGTAAATTTCGGTTCTGTGATAAAAATTTGCCAAGTACGAATTGAAATCACGGGTTCCACCGTTTTCAAGGGTTCTGAATATTTAAAAATTTAAGATGCTACAGATGGTAGCCTTGAAATACATATCAGACAGGCGGATAGGCACCTTAACAAATGGACAGAGGACATACGCATTTTAATGGGGCCTCAAAGGATGTAATTTAATATTTTTGATTTAATCGCGTTCAGGCAGACATACAGACGCGGCGAGAGTGCTTTGATTTATAATATGTAATGATGTATGATTTTGTTGTTAATGTTTGTATTAATAAGTTTGTCACTTACAATTTAATTCTTATAACACTACAAATACTATTCAAACAAAAATATCCCAAGAAGAGAGAAAATATATATCCATGTTTTACCGACATCATCTTTAGTGGTTAAATGAATCTTGTGAGCGTTTTCAGGGCTCAATGCGGTTACAAAATAAAGTATTTAATGCTCAATACAATTTAATGAAGGGAATCAAGTGCTATAAACTTGAAAGGGTAATTCTAATAGTTTAGTTGGGCAGCGGGTTCTCGACACCGATCTGACTTCCACACACAACAGTCCAAAATCAACATTACCCATCCAAATACCTCCAACGAATGTCATGATGGCGGATAGACCTCGCTCAAGACGTAGCCTCTGCTCTTAATTTAAACTTTGATTTGATTTAACGAAACGTAACATAGTGACTTTAAATAATAATAATGTTTAACATTTTAGCAGAAAAAGGTAACATCTCAAATTAAATTATAATTCATATCTACTAAATTTTCCTCCAACGTATATATTAGTTTTTAACTAGATACTGCCCTCCGGCTTCGTTTACTCTCCAATCCATTAAAATAAAACTTGTTTTTAGAACAAACTCACTTCTCTGATCATAAAATATGTACAAAAAAGACAAAAAAGGACGTATAGTTGTTCTATTTGCTCTACTTTTTACCGTGGAAAAATATCTCATTTCTGAGAAAAAAATACAAAAACTGCAATGTAAGAGTATACTAATATGTCAAACCTAAGAATTTGGTTTTTGGTCACCTGATATTGTATTTTCTTCCCAGGATCTTAAACTATCTTCACCAAATTTCCTCTGAATTGGTTCAGTAGATCCAGATCTCTCTCTCTCCAGAAAGTCTTTATAATGCCAACGTGCCAAAAAATAGTATAAAAGTTTTCAAATTTGACATGTCAATGTTGTTCAAGATTTCATTTATGACAATATCGGAATCCTATTTTTAAGAAAAAAATGTTTAAAACGAAAAAAAACTAAGATAGATAGTAGAAATATGACTAAAATTTATAAGATTACCCTTTAATCTACTGTGCATCCATGAAATGCTAAGATATTAATGATAAAAAAGAAAAGGATCCTTTTTCATTGAAAGTCGAATGAATATCTCAGGAAAAAATCGACGTAAAGGGTAAAAGTTTTTTTCCATTTTTTTATGATTTTTTAACAAAACTATGACTAAATTTTGTAAATATTAACTAGATTTGTATTAATTATATTTTTAACTAATGAATAAACAAGATTAGACTAAGAATTTCATTTCTCTCTACAATTACCTTAAAATCGATTTTTCTGAAAAAACAAACAATAAATGTAACTCCAAAATCGATCAAAAACTAATAAAATATCGATAAATTCGAAAAATTTATAACATAGATTCTAAGACAAAAACATACAAAAGTCGTGGTATACTTTACGGGTATTCCAACTTTATTATTTTTTCACGACTCGTCAAATTGAAAAGTCGGAATGCTTACGGCGACATTGTTATAAATAATAAGCGTTAAATTAAAAACTTAGGGGTTGAATTTTTTTGTTTTTTTTTTTGTAATCACTGGTGTAATCAGTTTATAAAAATTTGGTCAATAAAGTAAACTTCTTCAATGATAATTGAAAAAAATGTAGTTTACAAAGTAAAAATTATCGATTTCTCCAATTTAAAAATTTTTTAAGAGTGTTTTTACAGGACGACCACATCATGGTTTAATTTTTTCAAAAATTAGAGTTCAAGACGAAAAGAATGAGCCCTATCTGATAATTGAACGATTTTTTTTTAATGTAAACGTCCACTTGAAGTTGGCGGTGATTTTAAGCCTCTCGAGACCATATAACATACTTTTCTCGGAAATGGCTAAACATTGCAATTTATTTTTTTTTTAATTTATTATATGTATTTTGAAGATTACATTCCCTTATTTTTATAAACATTAATTAAGATTATTCTAGAAATTAAAAATTAAATAACCAAAAAAAGTTACAAACCGAGTTTTTTACAAATATCTCGAATACTTTGAGGTTATTGTAAAAAGTGTTATTTATAAAAGTTGTAGATTTTTACTAGACCTACAACTTTTGTAGAAAACGAAAAGAACGTCACAGTAAGCCGGAAATTAAAAAAAATATATATTTTTCAACGCTTTGCGTCCCCCCATTTCTCGGGGGTAGCTGGACATCGGGGGCATTTTACGAATTTCTATTCCTTATATACCTGCAAACATTTTAAAATCATAAAACTTCAGGTTTTCAATATTCTGTCCCCAAACCGGATTCCGATTGGACTAAATAGAGAGCGCACCAGGAGAAGTGTCACTAATTGTCCAAATTACTGATTCTCTGTAACCAGGTATTATAAATTTTTGCTTGCTTCTTGGGAAAATCATTTATACTTTTACGAATATATATAATAAACTTATTGAGAAATTAAGTCAATAATCTATTGGAATAAACGATAGCTTAATTCATAATCGTTAATTTACAAATTGTTATTTATACCTGACTTATCGAAGACATCTCAAGTGCACCGACCAATCAATTTACACGGACTAGCGGTCCCTAATGTGGTTTCCCATTATATCTTGGATCTTC